CACAAAATTTCAGCCTTCTTGCTTCCGTAGCTTCTGTGATAGTAACTTTACCCGCCCAAAATTTTACGGGGCCGTATCTGTTACCCGCGGGTACGGGAAGGCTGGTTTTAAATTTGCGGGATCACACGTGGGTGGGGAACGTTCCCCTAAATTCCAGCTTCCTGGCTTTTGTGGTTCCCGAGTTGAAAGTTGCGGATAAGTTTCTACGGACACACACACACACACACGCAGAGACAACCCCGTGACAATATGCGTGTTGTACTGCTATTACGCAGCACAAAACGCATAACAAGGAATGACGAGAATTGATGAAGCTTCTTTTTTCATTTTCATTCAGGGATTCATTGTTACTGTTGTTGGTTGATCATTATTCCATTTAAGCGTCGTCTTTCAGTGCCTATTCAGGAAATATTTTTTTCTTCCCCTCTTCGCTATTTTTTTGATCAGAATATTTTGGTTATACCATTTTTTGATCATTTTTCTGCAGAAAGTACTCGGAAATTACCAGAGCAAGTCGCATTCTCACGGGTTTTGTTGGAGGAATTGGAATTGTTTAAGACGTTTACAAAAAGTTCATATTTTCATAATGCATGATACTTTTTAACAGCCGCAATAGCAGAACTGGGATTTAACCGATGGGTGGACCCACCAGCTGAAAAACGAGCCGGTCGCTTGGATTATTTATTTTACGGTTATGAGTTGTTGAAATATGTGCAGGAGTGCATGCACTACTTTTCCATCATACAGAATCCAGGTTTGCCTACCATTCCTGTTGCTCTCGTCATGTAATCGTGAAGAAGAAGCTTTATTTCGTGCGTGTTTCTCGCCCTTTTTTCTGTTTTGGTTCAGGAATGCAGCGGTTAATTTTTGTTTGTAGTCAGATTAATGGCGTACTTCGTCTTGCTAAGAATTTTTGAATTACACGTCTTTAGCTGCTATAGTTTGGGAGCTTTTTTTGCAGATATCTTAGTTCTGTTACAATCGGTTGACTGGTCGACTGTTGACGAGATTCGAAAATATCTGGAACCATTCC